AACTGATTGGTTCAAAATTGGGAAAGGAGTACGACAAGGCTGTATATTGTCTCCCAGCTTACTTAACTTATATGCAGAATACATCATGTGAAAGGCTGGACTGGAGGAATCCCAAGACAGAATTAAGATTGCTGGAAAAAATATCAACAACCTCTGATATGCAGATGATACCACTCTGATGGCAGAAAGTGAGGAGGAATTAAAGAACCTCTTAATGAGGTTGAAAGAGGAGAGTGCAAAAAATGGTCTGAAGCTCAACATCAAAAAAACTAAAATCATGGCCACTGGCTCCATCACCTCCTGGCAAACAGAAGGGGAAGATATGGAGGCAGTGAAAGATTTTACTTTCTTGGGCTCCATGATCACTACAGATGGTGACAGCAGCCACAAAATTAAAAAACACCTGCTTCTTGGGAGGAAAGCGATGACAAACCTTTGACAGCATCCTAAAAAGCAGAGACATCGCCTTGCCAACAAAGGTCCGCACAGTCAAAGCTATGGTTTTTCCAGTAGCGATGTATGGAAGTGAGAGCTGGACCATAAAGAAGGCTGACCACCAAAAAATTGAAGCTTTTGAACTGTGGTGCTGGAGGAGACCCTTGAGAGTCACCTGGACTACAAGGAGAACAAATCTATCTGTTCTGAAGGAAATCAACCTTGAGTGCTCACTGGAAGGACAGATCCTGAAGCTGAGGCTCCAATACTTTGGCCATCTCATGAGAAGAGAAGACTCCCTGGAAAGGACGCTAATGTTAGGAAAATGTGAAGGCAAGAGGAGAAGGGGACGACAGAGGACAAGATGGTTGGACAGTGTCACCCAAGCTACCAACATGAATTTTACCAATCTCCAGAGGGCAATGGAAGACAGGAGGGCCTGGTGTGCTCTGGTCTACGGGGTCACGAAGAGTGGGACATGACTTAACGACTAAACAACAACAAATATAGTCCAACATCATAGCATTCTGAGTAGCTGCTATGACTTTAAATCTTTTTGCTTTAAAGCACAGGTTCCCACCCTGTGGTTCACAACCCCCAAAGTGGTCACAAAATGTTTTCTTGCTGGTTTCCAAAGGAGAGGGACATATCGCCTTTGACTTGTGCCCCCCCCCTCCCTTGTAACCCCCCCCCCGGTCCCCAAGCCAAGCTCTCTTCTTTCCCCTGTACGGGGCTCCCTGGCTGCATGCTCCATTTCACTGGCGACAGCAGCTCCTCCTAGGCTCTGGGGGCTGGCTGGCTGGCTTGGGCAGGGAACTGTGATGAGTGGGAGGAGACACCCAGCTGCAGGCCCTTGCAAGCCAGGCCATCTGCAGTAGGGGTTGAGAGGTGAGGAGACAGGCAGGCTGGAGGAGGATAAATGGTGGTGGAAGAGGAAAAGGGATCCTTGGCAGAAGCAATTTTGACCCCTCCTTGCCTCAGCCATCTGTCAACACCACCATCTTAGGCAGGATGGCTGAGGAGATGATGACAGTGCAGCCACCACTTGAAGGGAGGATGAAAAGGGTGAGGGTTCCCTTCCTGAGGGAAAACTTGTTCTCCCCCAATAAAACCCAATTTAAACCTACCCTCATTACCTCCATCTCCCAGAGCCCATTAAGGGACTGCCAGGTGAGGGGGAGGGGGCAGTGGCCTGAAACACTCAGCCACAAATTTTGAAGCTGGTTGCCAAAATGCAACTAAAACCATTGCATTGAATATTACATTAGAATTATATTGGGGGAAAATATATTTTAATCTGTTTACTCCATTAAAATGCCTTTTCATTCAACTGTGATGGAGATTGCAGATTACAGTTGGGAAAAAGAGTCTGTAAATCAAAACGGTTGGGAAACATGGTTTTAAAAGTGCACTTAACTTTCCCCCCACCTTTTTTCTTCAATCAAGTTATCACTTTAGGTGACACCAGGAAAACACAGACTGCTGTGCTAACACTAAGAAAGAATCTTGACAACAGAGACATCACTCCATCTTTTCAGCACAGCCAGCTGTCCCACATAACTGCTGTGTTTCAAATTACAGATTTGTTTTAAGAAGACTGTGGTGGAATTCTCAGA